TGTGCTGAGCTGCCTGGGGTTGTTCTGACCTCACCACTTCTTTAGCCACAAAACCATCCCTCACCCCTGCCTGGGGTTGGGCTCATCCCCTGTTTTTCTCCTCACTGCCCCAGGGCCGCTGGAAGGAAAGCAGCAGGCGCCCTCACTCCCACACTCCTGCTGCTGCCCAGGCAGAGCTGCCATGTGGGGAGGGTCACCCAGCTTAAATAGCTCCTGGCACGGGCTGCAGGAGGGGCGAAACATTGGCCCTTCCTTTTCTGATCAGCTTCAGGGACTTCACAAAAAGATGTCCAAAGAGCCACCACCCAGGAGAGAGAAAACTCCCAATTGCCCCCTATACCCGTCCCCCCAGTAATATGCATGGGGACAGCTCCTGGGCCCAGGAGAGTCAGCATTCCCTGGGTTTTTGGCCTAGGTTAAGTTCCTTTTCCTACACAATCTGGGCCTACACTGTAACCATGAGGCAGGTGGATACGCAGTGGAGCAGGCCAAATTCTGCTCTTAGTGACATCTCTGCAAACCCCATGGAGACAAAGCGCTTGCAGGTAAGTCACTGAGAGCAGAATCTGGCCCACTGCAAGGCGTGCACACAACACGCACTACACAATCTAACCATGCTGCCTTGCCCCAGGGATTTAAAACCTGCTGACATGGCCATGGCTGAGGAGGTTATTAACTCTCCCAGCTGTTGTATGTTCCACTGGGAATAACATTCCCAGGCAATGGGGGGCACTGGCAGAGGAATCAGGGATTAGCAGGACACAGGAGGGTGAGGTGACCCTGCAAAGCCCACACATAACCTCTGACTGAGGAGGTTTAGCAAGACCGTCTCACAACTTAAGAGCCTGGAACCGCATGCATCCTCTAGCCCTACCCATAGGAGCCAGCGAGTGGTTTTCTCTATTGCTGCCGCCTGCTTTTCTTTGTGCCACCCTCTTGCCCACGAGCGTCACTGTCTGGGAAGCTGCATACTCCTGTTGGTTTTTTGGCCACTGAAATACTCTATTTTAAAGCTTTCCGCTTTGGACTTCCGCAAGAGGCTCCCCTCCCGATCACCTCTCCCCTCCCAGAGATTTTGGTTTGAAGGCAAGCTTGTTGAGTTCTTTTTAAATGGGGTTATTTCCTTTCTATACAATTGTCGTCTATGGTTTTTAAGCAAGTTGGAGGTAGAGCGGCAGGGTCCAGATGCTGAGCAGATGTGAGACGGATGGGACAGAGAGGTGGCCGAAATTCAAGCACAAGAGGAGGTTTAGAAAAATAACAAACACTACGAATGGCAGGAGGAACCCTGCGGTTAATGACATCTGAAAACTCTTATATATTACCTCTTTTCATGAAATATAAGAAAAATAGACAATATACATATATCACGTGATAAATAAACACAACAATCCTTCTTAGGGCGAGTGATGCATGTCAGAAAACCAGGGTCAGAACCTAACGCTGGATGAATGAGGCTGCGGAAGGAAACAAACAGAAGCTACGAATTCTCCGGTTTGGCCCATTAAAAGGTCTTTGGCGGGATTCACTGCAAGCTACCGTCAAATGGTTGGTAAACAACCCCCAGCAATAGCTCCAGGCCAGCGAGTTAGGGCAGCCCGGCCGCTTTGCAGCACACGGCTCCCGCAGAGGGACCAGTCTCTGCACAGCTTCACCTTGGGCTTCAAGACTCACTACAGGTCCTAGGGAGACCTTCAGCAATGCAGAGAGATCAGTTCAGTGGCATTGCTGCTGGGACCGGCCTGCGTCAAACAGCAAATCAGTTCCAGGGGAGGAAGTTCTGCACTCACAGATATTTACAGGCTGCTTTGTCTCTTACTGTGTCCCTCCTCTCATCCCTCACCGAGGATGTGACCTTCCTCTGGAGAGCAGCAGTTGGGACTTTAGAGGAACTGTCTCTCGGGGGTGGGGGGCTCATGTGGGCTGGTATTTTCCAGGAGAAGATTCTTACTAGCCAGGAATCCAGGCCTGCTTTAGAAAGACCAGACTGCCATGGGGTTGGAGGAAGTTAAGGAAAGTCTTCCACAGTTCCCCAGGGATGTAAGCTTCCAACAGCGTAAGGTGTCCAGATTGTCATGTGAGGACACGTCAGGGCCGCCCAGAGGGGGGGGGCAAGTGGGGCAATTTGCCCCAGGCCCTGGGCCCCGCAGGGACCCCCATGAGAGTTTTTCGGGGCCCCTGGAGCAGGGTCCTTCACTCGCTCCGGGGCCCCCGGAAAACTCTCATGGCGCCCGGGCCCCCGGAGCTTCTTCCACTCCGGGTCTTCGGCGGCAGTTCGGCGGCGGGGGGTCCTTCCGCTCCGGACCCACTGCCGAAGTGCCCTGAAGACCCGCGGCGGGGAGTCCTTCCACCCTGGGACCTGCCGCCGAAGCGCCGGGTCTTTGGCAGCGGGGGCCCCCCGCCGCCAAAGACCCCAGGCCCCCTGAATCCTCTGGGCGGCCCTGGGACACGTTACCGTGTAGGCATGGCGGGGGAGAGGAGGGCTACAGAATGGGGGTGCTTCTGGCACTTGTTGGCTCCTGGCCGGGTTCAAATACTGCCGGGTTCACTGAGTTCAGAACTGCCAGGTGTTCAAAGCCTGCAAACTTTGGATGTAAGAACTGTGACTTCGTCCTGCTCGAAGCCAACAGCAAAACTCTGGCTGCCTTCAATAGGATGGGATCCACGCCTGGTTCTTAAGATCTGATACCCCCATTGTGGCAGAGAGCTGAGCCAGGGGAGGGGACAGCAGGGCGCAAGGACTGCAGCATCGCACTAACAACTTCCCTCAAACCCCACTTCCTGCCTGGGTCTGTCTCGCTTTGAAATCCTAGAATCCTAGGACAAGCCGGCATCAGCTGTGGAGAACCACGCGGCACCGTCTACAGCCATCCCTCAGAGGCAGTGAAAGTACACATCAAACACAGCCCTCCACACCCTTCTCCAGGACAGCCCATCCCAGAGCCAAGACGACACAACCAAACGGCGTCAGAGCCACATCCACTGAGAGAAACAGCCACAACCCCAAACCTCTCCATGGGAACACGCTGCACTTCTGAGGAGAGACACGACATGGTCTTTACAACTTCACAGCCACCAGGAGGGAGATTGAGTGGGGTGCAACTGAACGGGGAGGACTCACATTGGATGCGATGCAGCTAAGAGACCCAGGGCTCACAACTAGAAAAGAAAGGGCAAAGCAGACCCAACCGCAGTGGGACCGAACAATGCCGCCTAGCCCTGCATGTAGCCATTGTGCTAAACAAAGGACTCCTTGTTGTTCCAAAACCTGAATCGATGTTCTAAAGAACCACACAGTGCTTCTGAAAACGGTAGAAACAAGGGCGAGGTTCGGGGGTGGGTTGCAGGGGAGAGGAAAACATCCAAACACAGCCACCTTAGGGTTCTGAGTCAATCGCCCTCAGCCAAACCTCCCTTTGCAATGACTAGTGACTGGGAACTTTTGATCTGAAATCCCGACTTTTTTAAAAACACACGTGATGGATTTTGCAACTCCGGAAAACTAATGCTCCTACTGAGCACGTGGATTTTGCTTTTTTTTAAAACCTATTTCCTAAACTTTACATAGTTCAGTGGTTTATCTTCATTTTTTTTTTATTTGGCAAACGTCTCTTCTTTTATTATTATCATTATTATTATTTTTTTGGACCTCTTCAAATACTATATACATTCACATTAACGTACAATATTTGCCCTGACCGTGGCTGGGCAGTCTCCAGCTTTCTCCCTTTCTGCAGCCATGTCACTTTCCGTATTGCACTCCCGTCCTCTGTGCGTTATACACGATGCAAGAAATGCAAAATAATCGACATTGTCTTTTTTTCCTTCTCTAAGAACAAGTGTTTGTTTGTTTCCTTTCTTTCCTCCTAGAAACTGTTGCAAAATCGTATGAGGGGACGCGGGGTGGGAAAAGAAAAAGCGAAAGCGAAATAAAATAACCCAATGACAATGTTCATCACAGGACTGGAGAAAACATCTGGAGAACAAGTAGACACAAAAGCAAGGGGGTCTATCTACAGGCAATCGAAAGAGTCTTCAGAAGGGGAAAAACAAAAGGTGTCTTTTTTTTTTCCTGTGAAAGGTTGAAGGAGTAAGGACGGCAGTCACAAGATACTGGAGCTAGAGGTGGGGTTATGGAGAGCAGAGAGAGGTAGTGGAGGAGTACAAGAAGCAGAAGGTACTGGTGCAATTGCTTTCTGCTCACACTCTGACGAGCAGTGGAGAATCAACGACAGATTGTCACAGTTCAGTTTGAAATGATGCTCTCTCTGGAACAGGACCGGGATCTGAAGGTTCTTGTTCATTAGCACGCTCTCCTAGGCAAGTGAAACACGTTTATAATCCACAGAGGGAGGGAGCACACAATGTTGGCTCCCCATCTCACACACACACACACACACACACACACACACGCACAAAAGTTGTGTATCTTTTTTTGTTTGTTTTTGCTTTATTTTAATAAAATTCTTTAAATCCACAGATGCGCGTCCTTCCTCCTTCAAGGTACGTGTGGATGCTGAGAGTCCAGCGCAAGAACCCACCCCACCCCACCAAAGAATGCAAGGAGTCCAAGAGCGCCGGCTTGCCTTTGGCCAGTCGTCGTGGTTTGGTTGAAAGGGATAAGTGCTGCTCCTTGTTTCACAAAAAACAAACCAAAACCATCAACCGAAAAAGTAAAAATAACCAACAACAGAACCAAAAAAACTTTGGCAGTGGAAAAAAAGTTTGGATTTTTTTGTTTGTTTGTTTTTGGATTTCCTTTGGAGCAGAGGTGAGTCTGGTATGTTCTTGGCTAGCTAGCAAGGTAGTTTACAGGTAAGCTTCCTTTACTTGGTTTTACTTTGTTTTATTTGTTTTTTGGATTTTTTTTTTTACTTAAAGCCAAAGAGTTTGA